AAAAAAAAAGAAAATCAAGAACATAGAAAATGCCATGGGCTCAGATACAGACTATGCAACAGGAAAAAAAGACACCTATAACAAAAAGCTGGGTCTGATTCATTTTCAGTGAACTCAATGCAGGTGGTTTAATTCCCTCCCAATGAAACCTTCCTCTCAACAAAGTATGCCAAGTCAGAAGCCTGCTTTCAAGCAGGACTTCTGCCTTCTTCCGGAGTTTCTATATGCTACAGTAAAAATTTTGAGCTCTTACAAAAACACAAACAGGACAAATCACTACAAAGAAAGATTTACAACAAAAGAAAGGAAGTAATGAAGAACTTATTTCCTTTTGATATTTTACAGATTCCTCTCCCTAAACAGCTTAATTTCAACAAGACCCCTCCAATTTCTATATAGACACACATACAATATAAAAAATAAACCTAGCATTTTTCTGACCATCCATGCCAACTTTTGCTTACCTGCTCACAAAGCAGCAAACATCATAAACAAACATGGTTTGCATTGCAGTTTGTCTTTAAACAAAGACTTCAGGAGACAGCTCATGAAACCTGCTTCTACAGCAGAATTTTTTCAGAAAAGTGGGAAAAGAGAAAAAACAGATATAAGATCACTGAGTAAAGATTCAGTCATGAAAGTAACAAACATACCTTTCATGCTCTAAACAGTCAGACTCAAGATCTAAATGCTGATGAAAGGCCAAGGATGACTAAGAAAAAGTTTCACTTTTCTTTAAAAGGCAGAAAGTTTATACAATTATTTTATGTGAACAACATCTAACATCATTGTACAAGATTTAACGCATTTTATTTTCAGCGTCATCATTTACTAATTGAGCCTGCTCACAGAAAAATCGGGTCCAATTTGTCTCCTCTTGAAGTTGGTGCCAACGCACACCAAAACACCTATTGTCTTCCTTGCAGTTGAAACCACGTCCACAATTTCAAGTATTCCCAAATCAAGGAAAGTGTTTGGTAATTCCCTATTGTTTTCATAAGAAGAAGAAATGTTACTACCAAATTGCTGCTTGAGGAGAATTGGCTTTTTGTGGGAACAGCCCAGAGACACTGGAAGAACATCTGAAAGAACCACAAGGCCAAGAGCATTTTCTTAATAGTAAATTTCATCCACACCTATCTGGAGAATTGGGAGAGCAGAGAATACCCCCTGTTTCTGGAGAAAGACAGTCTGTAGAGGTGATGTAAAGGCACTATAGTTTGTCAAGCCTTAACACAGAAGAACACAAGACTACTCAAAATAATCCAGAATAAATGTGGTACCTTTGAAGGACACCAAAAGATTTTGTTTACAAGTATGATCGCCAGCTTTACAGCTTGCTTCGTTCCCAGCGAAGAACATACAAGCTGAAAAGAGAACTGAAGTGTTAAACCAACTTAAACATTATACATGAAAAGAAAAGGCATATAGGCACATATTTTCGAACATCTAGGCCCTGCTGAGGGACTTTCAGAGAAGAAAAAAGAATAGGGGGAAGAATATGGCTAAAGAATCTGACATCACTTCAGAACAGAGGTAAAATATTTGATCTTTTGAACTTAAGGGCTTTATTCCATGCTGAAAATATTATTTAAAAACATCTTTAAACCCACTCCCTACTCCCCTACCCAAAGCAGAACGATCAAATTAAACCTAAAAAGCTGAGGGCAAGTCAGGACATTCACACATCTCTTCAAAAGGTTCCACTACAAGGTCTTGTGGCTTTCTTCCCTTCTTTCACAGAGGAAACAGCAATACAAGAAAAGTTTTTTGAAGTGTAACCATGCTGTCAGTTTGCAGCTCTCCTTCACTTGCCCAGGGCCTTTTTCTCTCCGATCACCACTACTGAACTTAGACTGCCTTTCTCCCACGACCCCTTCTAAACTGTCCTAATTTCCTGTGAAGGGAGATCTAGGCATAGTTGTCAGGATAATTTGCTGCATGGTCCCTAATATAAACAACTTGGTTTCAGTCATTCAAGACAGCCTTCAACACTACCTAGCAATGCATGCACCTTCAAAGCACCCCAATCCATATCACTCACCCCTTACAGTCATGCTATGACAATCAGGATTCTAATAGTCTGAGACTCAGCTTTCTTTTATTCTGGTACATTGAATAAACAAACCAACCATACAGACAAAGATTGTCTGTCAGCATCAAGCCGACTTCAAAGGACCCCCAAAGGGGGAGGTCTGGGCTGTGTGCAACACAGTGTAGATGTGGCCAGTTGCACCACTCTGCCCAGGATGGAACAGGCTCCTTGCACTCCTTCCCACTGTCTTCCCAGGTAGTACAGACACGGACACACAAATACAGGAAACGAGAATCTGACAGTTCCTCAGCATGAATAAAAACTGGAAAAGTAGCAGTCATGGCTTTCCAGTCCCCCTTGGTTCTGACACGTGACTTCCTTTACCTTCAACACCCTTGATGAGATTATACCACTTTATAAAGAAGAGACATTTTCTACACCATAGGCAAATAGATAACAATACCAGAACTGGAGCAGAGGCAAGGCCCAATGCAGTATTCTTCTACCTCTGGTGCTGGCCAACACCAGATAGTTTTCAGGACAGTTTCAGATGCCCCCAGTAGGAAGATCATAGAATCACAGAATCATAGAATGGCCTGGGTTGAAAAGGACCTTAAAGATCATCTAGTTTCAACCCCCCTGGGTTGCCAGCCACTCGAGC